AAGCAATTTATGTGTATCGTCGAGATTAATAAACAGCTTGGTCTCTTCAGTTGTACGGAACAATGACGATACTTTGTGCCGTGGCCTCTGTTAAATTAATGCGCGCGTGAGCACGATTTTGAGCTCATCAAGGTAAGCGAGTCCGCTATGTAACGAGCTGTTTATAGCGCGACGTTACAGCTCGAGCTATATAGAGCCCAATGATCTTACAGACTCGGCGATAGGATGCAAAACAACGAATTCATCGACCGTTCTGCGTCCCATTAGCGGATTGACAGTCCGTAGGGAAACAGGACACTATATATTGCGTGTCCCGCTTCGTTTATACGTCCCTTTTCCTCCTCCCGCGGGGCGTCGGATGCTGCTGCTGCATACTGGATGCTGCACCGTTATGCAACCTGCAACCAGCGTTCAAGCGACCAGTCGGTCTTTGCTCGTGCCGAGAGGATTCTCAGCCCTGTCTCCCGTGTATTATCTATCCTTCCTCTCTCGCGAGAACACCTCGAACAGCGATCACGACGGCGGCAAAGCCGTAAAGTCTGGTTGTTCGCAACCACCGATATATTAAATCGCAGACGTATTAAATTTTCCGAGAACAATGTTCGAAACTGAACATGTCGCGAAGGCAAAGCGGAAACAGCGCGAATCAGGAAGTAAACTTTAGAACGATAAATGTCCTAACATAAATATTTTCAAAATGATTAATAGTTAAAAAAAAAAAAAAAAATAGCGTACGAGGCAAAAAAGAGAGGTTTCAGACACAGAAGAGGAAGAGCATAGGGTTCAAGAAGAAATAATTTTCTTAAGAAACGAATATTTTTTATGTTTCACAAAAAGTAAAAAAAAAACAAAAACAACAAAACGACGTTTTATAATTGCGAACTTGTAACTAAATCGAGAAAACTACTTTGCGTGTAGAGAGAGAGAGAGAGAGATACGCATATTATATCTCTTGCCTAATATGTACGCCTGTACACCGATTTGACTGTATTTCGACGAATGCGCGCGCGAGTATATTACGACATAACGCCGGGTTATCCAAGATGCGCGACGTGTCCGGTAGTTTCTCCCTGTTCCACTGGCTGAACAACCGTAAGAGAGGATCCGTGCATTCCCACAGACACACAGATATATACCGCCCATTTCGATGACCGGCCCGTCCGTCCGTCCGTCCGTCACGCACCCGCACTCAGAGATCTTTCAACAAAATGGCGTTACGAGCGAAAACAATTTTACAATAAAAATAAAAAATAGGTTGCACAAAAATATTGTAAAAACAAACCTCTTAATAGAAAAAGAAAAAACAATCAACAATTTAATGTACCTAAAAGTGCACACCAAATTGCAAAGAATAAAACAGCGAGAATTACAAGGGAAACGAAGAAGGGAGATTTCGTTCTTGACGAGTAACGTCGTATTTTTAGACGAGCTCTCTCGGTTTAAGTAGAAGCTTTAGCAAACGAGAACGAAAAAAAGAAAAACAATTTCCGCCGTCGGCTTCCAGTGGTTGTTCCAGCCGTCTCGTGTTTGCGCTCGCGTTTCAATAGGTTGAGACTGTATCAGAAACGAGTTGCATTAATCTGAACAATTTCTACAAGGTTTTTGACGAAATTAATGCGAAATTTGAAATGTTACTAAAACATAAAACTGACTCTTGACTCGAAATGAGTCAAGTATTGATCACGTTTCGAGTAAGGGGAAGATCGTTTAACTCCGCACAATAGGGTGGGGGAGTATTTCCCAATCTCTGAGTGGGTCAGTCCTGTCGACTGCACCCTCATGAACGAGAATCCCTATATAAGATACAAGGGTGAGTCACTCTCGCGGTCAATTTCCGGTTTGGTTTCGTTTACCAAAAGAAAAACCACGTTGTATTGGCGAAACTATGAACTGACATAGGCGGCGACATAAAAAGCCTCTGTAAACAAAGAAGGTACCAACGAGATACGTGGGCGCGTGTGGATGGTCTTCTTGATCGGCTCGATTTCATTGAGAGAACGGCGTTTATAAATATTGTCGCATGGATCGAATGTCGAACGAGGGGGTCGAGGATGCGACGCGGCAAATATTGTCGCTTTTATGCGATAATTCAAGAACAAAAGCATCAGAGAGAATCTCGAGTTTATTAAAGGTCAAGAACTATCGATTGTTATATTTCGCGCGTAAAGGATGACAAGAATCTCAATAACGAACGCGAGAAAAAAACGCAAATAGATAATGCGCGAGTGAATTTTTTTTTTTTTTATCTCTGACCCGACCGTGCGACATTTCGCGAAAAGGTTGCTCATTATCGAAGGGTCAACGAATTCGCGACTGACTGCAAATAAAAACGACAAATCGATATACTGCGTACAGCGCTTCGCGATGATGATATAACACGATGACATAATTTTATCGTTGTTTGTGAAAAAACATTTCCGCGCAAATCGAAAACGATCGGTATTGTCGAGATACGCAGATGGTTTTTTTTTACGTCTCATGTTGTATTCATTCTGCGCCACCGCCCATCTTTGGCAACTTTCGTCAATTACGAGTTTTCTTTCCGATCGCAATTATATTTCCCTTAATAGACTTTTACAAACAAGCCAGAAGATATTAAAATTTTTATGGATCGATAAGTGCGTCACAAATAATCCGATTGGAGATCTCTATTTAACATTGAGGCGGTCGCACGGATTTCCACGAGATTTCCAGCAATTTTCATTTCATTATACTACAATGCAATCGCAGTAAAAGTCTTGCGAGTTTATGCATAAGAAAGCGAGAAGATTGGATCGAGACTCTCGCACGATTATTTAATATACTTAAGAATACACACTTTACAACAGATGAATGAGGTTAGCGAGCGCGAACCGAATTCTAAATGAAACACTCTCTTCTTTTCAAGTATTTTAATTTCGATTCAATTATTAATTCCTCCGCTCTTAATTACTTTTACTTCCAATTACAATACGTGTAGCGCTCACGGGCGGTAATAAGCATATTTACGATGTGTAAATAAGCACGTGGCGACTTTTTTCTCAAAAAGTGTGTTAATTTTAATCTAAGTTTAACAATTTTGTTTTTTTTAAATAAAAGAGAACTTCTATCGAGAATGCACGGATAGTCTCTGAATCGAAATGGCGATATATAGCGATTGATTAAATATGTTTTTTGTATTTTTTTCTGTCACTTTTGGATATTTGAACTTTATAAACAGAACCTTTAACAAATTGCACATGTAATTTTATCATAAAGTAAAAATTTACTATATTTTTCAGTTACTTTTGAGTAGAAAAAGATCTTAATCGTGATTATACTTCTACATGTAGAAATTAAAAAAATTGATATGTATTTTTATATGTAATTATATATATATTTCTACAATGTAAAAATAAAAAAAAAAAAAAAAAAAAAAAAAAAGATATACCTTCGAGTTGGCATGAAAGCATCTCCACTGCTGTTACGACTAGGGGAGAAAGATAAATTTTATTTATGTGATGCAAACGTAGATTTTCAAATTGAATTCAATTCAAAAATTATTATGTGTATTAATTTACGTTTA